TGGCGGGCTACCCGCTCGTCTTCTGTTCTCGGCTCCAGTTGTGAGGCTGAGGGCTGCACAGGAGCTTCGCTGGCTCACCTACCTGCTGACTAACCTCGGAGAGCCGCCTCGTTCTCCTCCAGTGCTGTACGTAGACAACAAGGCCATGCTGGCCTTGTGTCGGGAGCAGAGACTGGAGCACAGAACGAAGCACATTGCTCTTCGCTACTTCCTTGCTCGTGAGCTACAGCAGCGTGGTCAGCTACGCCTTGCGTACGTGGCCTCTCAGGCCAACACTGCTGATATATTCACCAAGGCACTTGCGCCTTGTGATCATCAGCGCTTCTGTACTCAGCTGGGTCTTGTGCCTACCTTGCCTCACTTGCTCACCCCTTGACCTTGTTTGTACTGTTACATATACATATACACCTGCTCTTGCTTGTTTAGCCTTATATACATATGTAATCCTGCATGTGAACTGGCCTTGTGGCCTTGAACTTGTGCTCGGAATGTGTGGTGACGTTGTGATCCACCCTGAGCTTGCTTTGCTTTGCTTGACTGGTCTTGTGACCCCTTGTCCTCCCCCACTTTGCCTATGGGGGTGTGTCAGATTTATATGACTTAGCTGCTGTAGGCTATAGTGGGGTAGCACATATGGGGTACAGCTTTCTAGGGTTTGTACTTGTACCCAACTTTCCCTTAGTCTTTTCATTCCTCGTTTATTTTCACAGACGGCGCCGATGGCGAAATCACTGGCGTCCGTGATGACTTCGAACGGTCGAGATGGGTCGGCGAGGCGGAGGACAGGGGGTGAACTCAAAATGTTTTTGAGGTCGTTGAAAGCCAACTGTTCTCTCTCCCCCCACTGGAAAATGGTTGTCTTGTGCAGGAGGTCGGTTAGGGGTGTGGTCACCCCCGCCATATTGGGTACAAAACGGCGGACGTAATTCACGAAGCCCAAGAAACTCTGCAGCTCGGTGATGTTGGTCGGTGGTTCCCACTTAGTGATTGCGTCCACTTTGCGAGGGTCAATTTTAATGCCTTCTCCCGAAACCACGTGCCCCAGGAACTCCAGCTCCGGCTTTAGGAACTCACACTTAGAGCCCTTCGTAATGAGCCGATTTTGCTGTAAGCGCCGGAACACCTCCTCCAGATTCTCGAAATGTTGTTCTTGCGTCTTGCTGTACACCAGGATGTCGTCGAGGTAGACGATAACTTTTTTATCCAGCATGTCCCGGAACACCCCGTTCATGGTCAGCTGGAACGTCGAGGGCGCGTTTGTCAATCCGAATGGCATCACGGTGTACTCGTAACTTCCGTAGCGTGTGCGAAAGGCGGTTTTCGTGCAGTCGTCGGCGAACACGCGAATTTGGTGGTAGCCTCCTCGCAGGTCGATTTTCGAGAAATAGCGAGACCCGCGAAGTTGGTCCAGCAGGTCGTCCGCTCGCGGGATCGGGTAACGCGACTTTATCGTGACCCGATTCAGCGCCCGGTAATCAATACACATGCGTAGGCCTCCGTCCTTCTTCGGCGTGAACAGTATTGGCGCTGCGAATGGTGACGTGCTTGGCCGGATAAATCCCTTGGCGAGGAGGTAATCCAGCTGGCTCCTCAACTCGTCGAGCTCCGGTTGGCTGAGTCGCCACTGTGTTCGAACAGTGGGTTGCGCGCCGGGTTCCAGCTGTATCTTGTGATCTTCTGGTCGCTGAGGTGGCAAGCCATTGGGTAGGTCATCCGCGAAAATTTCGGGATACTTCCTGATGATGCCTGCCAGTTCCGCAGGGACTGCCTCGCAGAGCTTGTCGATGTCGGCAATTTTTTCGGTGGCTGCTACTTCGTACAAGTGTACAGCGTAGCCTCTGGCCCATTTGTTGATCGCTCGCCGCATGGTGACGGCGTTGACACGTGTTGTCACAGGCTCCGGGTCCGTCCATGTCGGAAGTGTTGTGTGCCCTGTATTTCCTCGCACAGTGCATGCCCCCGTTGTCCAGTCGATCGTTGGATTGAATCGTTGCAGCCAGTCTCGTCCCAGCAGCACATCGCAGCCGTCCAAATGTTGTCGCCAGCATCTTCATGCCGAACCCGAAATTGTCGCCACATTTCATCCGAACTTGTCGCGCTTCATCTCGGATCGCCAGCGGTGTTCCGTCCACTAGCCGTGCGTCAATCTCCGGCAGACATCTGTCCAGCTTGACTCCAGTTTTTTTGGCTGTTGACAGGTTGATGAGGCTGTGACTAGCCCCACCGTCAACAAATATTTTTATTTTATGGCCGTTAACCCTCCCTACTGCCAGCACAGGGTGGTCCACGTGTTCACCCACGTTATTCGTCCGATTGCGGTCGATTGCTCGGATCGGTACCACAACTCGGTGTGGATGGTGATTGTCGGGCGACAGGGTCTCGTCAGCAGGGCGCCCATCTGCTACTGACTCGTATCTTTTCCCGACCCTTCTCCGTCGTTCCTTTTCCCCTGCTTCAGCTTCGGGCAGTCTCTTTTCAGGTGGCCCAGCTGGTTGCATGCAAAGCACGGCCCGATGGTTCGGCTTGGTGCATCCACGCCGTTGATCGTGGGCTGCTGCGTCGATCCACGAAATCGAGGGCCCTCTCGGGAGCTCAATCTCGCCCACTGCATCAGTGCATCCGTTGACTCGGCTTCCCGGACAGCGTCGTTAAAGCTGCATGGCCGCGTTCGTCGGACCTCATATTGAATTTCGTATTTCAGGCCCGCCACGTAACGGTCCATCCGCTCCGCGTCGCTCATATCGTCCACTTGGTCAGCCAAGTTGCAGAACGCGCTGGTGTAGTCTTGGACCGAAGTCAGCTGCTTCCAGGCACGCAGCTTCATGCGGGCAGAATCCGAGGCGGAGATGTGCTCGAACCTGGCTCGCAAGGCGGCGCCCCACTCCTTCCATGTGCGTATCGTGGCCGTTTCGAAGATTGAAGCTGCTCGTTGCGTGACAGGTGTCGAGGTCCCGTCGTTCGCACGCGTTGTCCCTGCCGAAGTCCCCTCGGTTTGAAGCGTGCGTCGCCACCATTCCAACGCAGGTCCTCGTAACAGTGAAACTGCAAAATTAATGCGGGTGGCATCGTCGTTAATCATCGCAGCATTAAAAAACAACTCCGCGCCAAACAACCATGCAGAGACAGTGACAAACTTGTCACTCGGGTTGAATGGTGGTGGGTTTGTTGGTTTGATTTTGACAGTTGTTGAGGCTGTCATAGTCGCTGGAGCTGTTGCTGCCGCTGATGTCGCTGGTGCACGTGTTGGCACTGCTGGCGACTGTTGCTGTTGTGCCCGCCCTTCTTCTGCAGCATCCATGGAGCCTTCGAGCTCACTGAAGACGGCCTCGTTCGGCGTGGAGCTACTACTTGCTTCGTCCACGATGAGCGACTCCTGACGCGCTTCACCACGCGCCTGGTGTAGTTCGGCGTTTTCCTTCTTCAGGCGATCAACCTCCTCAGACATCGTCTGCATGTTGGCCTGCATCGCCCGGAACTGTTGCATAAACTCGTTCAACTCCGCCTGGTCCATATTTCGCAGGCTTCGTCGGACGGGCAGGGGGTGGTTAGCGATTTTTATGACTTTTAGTGAAGGCGCAAACGCTATCGTAGTCGGAGTGAAATAATCGTATCTATTTCACAGGCCGACTGCTTTGCAGCCCACTAAGTCTATCGCTCCCCTTACACAAACTACCCCGGAAACGCGAGGGTAACCTAGGAAAGTAGCTCTGATACCAAGTGTTATGAGTTGTAATGAAGAAGAGTGCGCAGGATTCAATAATAATGAAGCCTAGCACTTATATAGCGAGAACTAGCTAGGCCGAGGTTGCGGGACCGCGAAAGGTCCGGAGCAGGTTCGGGGTTGGGAAGACCCGAAGGCGACGCGTTGATGGTTCGGCGGGCGAGGTCAGCGGACCGAGCCTGGAACTCCGAAAGTTGGGGCTGTACGCGTACAGTGTGACTCAGTAAGGAATTGGGAAAAATCCTTACATACAGTTTCTGAACGGGCGTGGTGAGAGTGGTACAGTTTCGTTGTAATATACAAATCAGTTAGATAAATACAATATACACAAGTATAATGACAAGCTTAATTCCCTATCAAGTCACCTGTATTCCCGTTGCATACTCCTCCACAAACCATGACCTTTTTGGGCCACTGAATGCCGGCGGATATGAATTTTCACTTGGAATGGCAAGAGATGCTGCGGAGTTACTGCCAACTGCTCTTCGAAGCACTAGAACAGAGCTTGCCCCTTGTAACAGGGTTACCAGCAGCACAGCAGCAATGGACGGTGCAAGGAAGACCCAAATGACTGCCACCCGCCGGCCCAAAAGAGTTTCATTCAAACCGCCCTCAAGGAAAATGCCAAACAACGCCTGACAGTGCAAGGATGCAAAGAGAGAGGGGGGCAGGATGGGGTAAACGTAGTGAAATACAGAAAATGCTTCAACAGCTTGAGATTCAAACATATTAGGGGTTTACATGCTAACAGAAATAGTGAGCTACAGTGTGCTAAGAAAAGATAGCTTTGCCTTGAAAATGCCCTAAAGGTTCTTACCCCGAGGGAGGCTAGCGCAGCGACATGGGAGAAATAAGTGCGACGGAGAGGAGGGAGGAGGAGAGGGAGAGGGGGATGATGAGGGAGGCACGTGAGCGGAGCAGGAGGAGGGAGGAGCGGAAGGAGGAAGAAAAGCCTTCCCCAGTTGCTGCTGCGATAGGCAAGACGAGCCTGATGTGATAAGTGGTTGGAGAACACACAAAGACACAGCCCCACGCACAACCAGACATGCAAGCAGAGAGACACACACACACACACACAAACACACCCACACACACAAGTGCGCATCCATGCGCACTCGCACGCACGCATATACACGCAACAGATATCAATAGATACACACAAACACAAACACACACATATGTACACCGAAGACGCAAAGCTTATACGTAAGGAATTGTGATGGAAAAAAAGCGGGAGAGAGAGGGGGGGGGAGGGGGGGGGAAGATGGATAGGAAGATGTCACTCAATAAGAGCAACACAACTGAACTTGCGATGGAAATTATACGAAAAAGGCCGTGGAAACATGTACCTCGTAAAGAAGGCGAGCAAGGGTGTGACACAAACGAGCGCTAACACTCTGGTTAGCGTGAGAGACGCAGAGGCGGGCATGAGGCGCCGATCATCCCCAGATGGAGAGGTGGAGGAGGAGAATTGAGAGGAGGAGGATTGAGAGGAGGAGGATTGAGAGGAAGAATACTGTGAGGAAGTTGAGAGGAAAGGAAGGGACGGGAGGGAGGAGATGAGGGAGGAGAGGAGGACTGGGAGGGTGAGAGCAAGAGCAGCAGAGAGTATGAGGATGAGAGAGATGGTGGTGATTGTTCCGAGTGATGCGAGCAGGGCTTGCCTGCAGTGGTGGGGTAAGGGAGGAGACGGGAGGAAGAGAGGAGAGGAGGCGAGATGAGAGGAGGAGGGGTTAAGGGGGTGAGAGAGACGGTGGAGATGGTGCCGAGTGTTGCGGACAGAGCATGGGTGTAGTGGTGGGATTGAGCATCGAGCATTCTGCTCTTTGAGCGACGCAAAAAAGACGAAGAATATATATATATATATGTATATATTTATATTTATATATATATATTTATATATATATATAACAAACCTACCGTAGTGGTAATGCTGAGGAACCCGGCCCCTTCCATGCAAAAAGCTCCCTCTCCTCCACGGACCCACACAAGTCATCACCAGGAAAGCGCCCCGAAGCTTCCTCCTCCATTTGCTCTCGGCCTATCCCTCCCACCCGCCCTGCTGCTTCTTCCGGTGCACCCCTGTCAAACGCTGCTTGAATTGTCTCAGAGAGAGGCGGGCTCTGGCAAATACCCGCCTCAAACGCCCCACTGCTAACCGCCACTGCAGCAGCTGTCCCCAATCCCCCTGCTGCTGCTTCAGCTTCAGCATTATCCCCTCTCCAGCTATCTGCAGGACTCGCTGGTGTGTTCTGGGGAGCGCCCCCCTCGACCACCTCACTGCTAACCGTCACTGAAGCTGCGAACTGCACTGTCATGACCACACTGACGGCCAGCCACAGACTTGCCAGCTGGCCGGCTGTTCTGACGGCCAGATGGAGCCAGTGGGGGAGACGGCAGGTGAGGGCGGAGAGGAAGTGAGTGAGAGAGGGGAGGAAGGTGGGGGAAGATGGGGTGGGGGTGGTTATGGTGCTGGGGGTGTTTCCATTGTTATTGAATAAGTGATGGAAGGAAGATGTTGGGGTGGAGGAAGAAGAAAAGGAGGAGGAGGAGGAGGAGGAATGAGGGATGTAGGTCATTTGAGCTGATATGAACCCAGCACCAGCACCCCATGCTCCCTCCTGCTACTGCTCCTCCTCCTGCTGCTGCTGATGCTCCTTGCTCTTCTGCTCCTGGCTCTTCTGTTCCCGTTGCCTCTGCTCCTCTTTCTCCTCCTCTTCAGCCTCTTGCTGCTGCTGAGCAGCTAAGGCAACTGAAGCTCGATCCACGGAAAGAAAAAAAGCGGGACAGTGGGTTGGGAGCAAAGGGGAGGACAGAGAGGAGGGCTGGGAGGGCGGTGGTATGAAGGGTCCTTGGGGGGTGGAGGAAGAGAAGGAAAAGGAAAAGGTCGAGACAAAAAGCGGTGCGAGGAAGCTTCCCAGAACTGCGAAGAGGGCTATGAGGGAGAAGAGGCGGCGTGCGGGTGAGCGACGGTGGGAGAGAGAGAGGGCGGCGTGGGAGGTGTTGCTGACGGCTAAGGCGTAGTGGAAACGGGGGAGGCGGGGGGTAAGGCGGGGGGTAAGGCGGGGGGTAAGGCGGGGGGTAAGGCGGGGGGTAAGGCGGGGAGGATTGGAGGGCTGGGGGAGATGGGAGGAGCGCGGGATTTGGGGAAGATGGGAACTGTAGGGGGGGGTGGAGGGGAGAAACTGGATGGTGGGAAGTTGGGGGTGGGACGAGGTGGGTGTGGGAAAATCAAGAGGTGAGGAGGAGTCAAGAGGTAGGGAGGAGTCAAGAGGTGAGGAGGAGTCAAGAGGTAGGGAGGAGGAGTCAAGAGGTGAGGAGACGAGGGGAATGGAGGACGGAGGGAGTTGGAACGGTGTAAGACGAATCAGTGCGTGATGGGGAGATGAATCTGCATGAGATGGCTTCTGCTCATGGCTTGAGGCTGCGATATCAGAAAATGAGTCGGAAAGAGGTGGCGGCGGCTGCTGCTGCTGCTGCTGCTGTGTCTGCTGTTTTTGCTGCTACTCCTGTTCCATACATTCCTCCTCTTCCTTTCGCCTCCCCTTCTCACCCACTCCCCCTCCTCTCCCAGACCCCAGCCCCAGCAGCAGCAGCAGGGAGGCAGCGAGAATGAGAACCAGCACTGAGAACACTACAACCCACGTGCTGCTAACTTCCAAAGGCTTATACCATGTACCGTACCAGTCCCATAACGAGGACAGAGGGGAGAAATGACGAAAGGAAGTGTAGCGTTTGTAACCAGTACCGGCAGTGGCAGCACCAATAGCACTAGGACCAATTCGTCTCCCCAGTGCTCCTTTCCTCCTCCATCCCCCAACCATCCTCCCCAATCCCCGTCCGCATTTGAGTTTCAACACCACGATTTGAGTAGGAGAGAGAAGTCAAAAGCTCACGAGGAGGGAGAAGTAGGAAGGCCCTCCAGTGCCGCTCGTTGTGTGGAGAGACAATGGAAGGCCACAGCCTGAGTCTTGGCACGACAGCACCAGCATGCACCGCTCTCCACTCCTCTCTTGCGCACTCCCATGCCCTCTCCCACGCCCCCTGTCTGTTTTTCGAGTGTGTCTCCTGCCTTGACTCCCGTGCCCTCTCTCATGCACCCCCTCTTCCCTTGTGCCGCCTGCTGCTGCTCCTGCTGCCGCAGGTGCTGGTGGCGGTGCTGGTGGCGGTGCTGGTGGTGGTGCTGGTGGTTGTGCTGGTGGTGGTGCTGGTGGTGGTGCTGCTGCTGTAGCTGGCACTTCCTCCCCCCTCACTGCCTCACCGCCTGCTGCTCCCACTGCTGGTGCCCCTTTCACCGCCTCGAGCAGGCAGCGCCATCGCGAGAAGAGCCAGGTGGACGGGGAGGGGGTGTGTGCTTGTGGGCTGGGTGAGGAAAGGCCTGAAGTGGATGGGGAGAATGTGGAGCAGAGAACTATCGAAGGTGGACAGGTGGGCTGAGGAGGCCATAATTCCATCAACTCAGTGAGTACGTACGTTTGAGACAACAAGACAAACCCCATGAAGTCTAACTCATAGGCGCTTTGAAAACAAAGCAAAGTGGACAGAGTGGGGAGTTGTAGCAGTGGATGCTTGTGGTCCGGGGTAGATGGGGAAATGTGAATAGGGGAAGAGAGAGGGGGCAACAGGAATGGAGAAAGGGGTAGAAGAAAGTGCGGGGACGAGGGGGAGGGTGGGTGAAATATCGAGTGAGTGACGTGGGGACGAGGATAGGTGATCAAAATAAAGAGTGCATGGGCATGAATTATCCCGAATGGTACATCCAACCGCTCCCGACCAACCTTACCCTGGCAACAAAGGGTGTCTTGCAAGCTTGTCCCTTGCGGCACCAGGGACACCCGCACTGTCACGTGGCCTTGTGTCGTGAACTTGACAGCGTTATCTGAAACGTAACCGAGGAAAGTGATAACCAGAAACGGAACATGTGATAACACATGCGTTATCTGAAACTTAACCGAGGGAGGTATATTTTGAAGAGCTAGACAGGAGCCTGTGTATCGGCCTTGTGCCATGTCAAATGACCCTGTGGCCACTTCAATTGACCTGGTCCTCGGAAATCAACTGCCTTATCTGTGCGTCTCATATTCAACACCACACAAACCTCAACCAGTCTCCACTTCACCTGTCATTTCTTTAAGTGCATCACTGAGGTGTATGCAAGGGGTCGTTTCTTTTAATCTCTAACTAACTACTGAACACTTCACCACCCTCGTGAAGTGAGATGGGTTTTTGAGGCGCCGCAAAACCCGTCTCATTTCTAGGCGCCTCAAAACTCCTTTCTTTAAGCACATCGTTGAGGAGCACGCAAGGGGTTTTTCCTCACTACCACCCTCACCACCACCCACGCACAGCCTCAGCTTCACCTTTGTTCTCCTTGAGCGCGTTGCTGAGGTGCATGGGGTCCACACTGACAAACGTCACTCCACCTGTGCACACTTCGCCACCCACCCACAGCCTTGGGCAGCACCAGGTTTCTACAGCAGTTTTCAGCAGCAGATTTCAGCGCACCTGTGATTTCCTTGAGCGCATTGCTGAGGTGCAATGGGTCCACAATGACATGCGTGGGGCAGTCGTCGCACACAATGCCGCTCACTGCATTGGGGGGAAGGAGGGTGGAAGTTTCCAACGCATGATCACGAGAAAGAGGGCATGGTAAATTGGGCAAACACATGCCACTAGAATGAGGCACATAAGGCATGCCATGCAATGTTAAGAACAATGTGACGGCGCTCCTGTGACCACAGGAGGAGCACTGAACCACAATGTCAGGACGAGCGCAGAACCACACCACAATGCCAGGATGAGCGCGGAACCACACCACAATGCCAGGATGAGCGCGGAACCACACCACAATGCCAGGATGAGCGCGGAACCACACCAGAATGCCAAGATGAGCGCGCAACCACACCACAATGCCAGGATGAGCGCGGAACCACACCACAATGCCAGGATGAGCGCGGAACCACACCACAATGCCAGGATGAGCGCCGAACCACAATGTCAGGATGAGCGCGGAACCACACCACAATGTCAGGATGAGCGCCGAACCACAATGTCAGGATGATCGCGGTGTGAAAATAATTGGAATGAATGATTTTACTAGAGAGTGAAACAAGCATACATAGTTGGGAAGAGAAGGTTGGAAGGGAAAGGGAGGCAGGTGGAACTTGGGGAAGTGGGCCAACCTATGGCCCATTGGGTTGGGTTGTCCTCACTTGGGGAAGTGAGGCAACTAATGGCCCATTGGGTTGGGTTGACCACACTTGGAGAAGTGGGGCAACATGTGGCCCAGTGGGTGGGGTTAACCTCACTTTGGGAAGTGAGGCAACCAATGGCCCATTGGGTTGGGTTGACCCACACTTGGAGAAGTGGGGTAATATGTGGCCCAGTGGGTTGGGTTAACCTCACTTTGGGAAGTGAGGTAACCAATGGCCCAGTGGGTTGCAATTGGGGGCTCCACCACAATTGGGTTGGATTGGCACCCCAACGTGCAAGGCTACACCCAATGTTGGGTGTAGTCCCAACCCAACTGTACACCACACTTGGTCTACAGTCACAATTGTGTTAGCATGCTACAATATATTTCTAACACGCGGAACCACAATGTCAGGAGGAGCGCGGAACGGAGCGCTGAACCACAGGAGCCGGGAGGGATGAGCATCCAGGTGGGCCCACTTCAACCCGGCCCGGGCCGGTTCGTTTTCGGCCCGGGCCGGGCCACACTTTCCCCAGCGACGGCCAGGGTCGGGCCGAACCAGGTTTGGCCTGGCGAACCAGAAAGGTCTGCCTTCGGACCGTCGAGGCAAACCCAAACTGGGCCAGTTCGCCTCGAGTCGCGGCCCGACACGAACCTTTGTCGACCCGGTTGGGACCCTCACGACATTTTCCACGAGTTTCACAAGACACAATAAAGAGCAAGCGCCTCATTGTATGGGTGGCGATGATCCACAGTTACTTGCGGAAAAAAAAAGGTCGAAGGGCCGTGGGTGGCCGATGCAGTGCCCGCCCCTTCTAGCGCTCTTGAGCAGTCATGAATACACATTCATTCATACATCTTGATCACTCACACTCGATGCCTTTTGAGCGTGCCTCCTCTGCATGCCAGTCTAACGCGGCACGAAGCCAATCCCTCACATCAACCACCACCTCATCCACCATTGCCTTGCCTGCCTCCAGCTTCGCCAGGTCCAACACGCGGTTGACCAGATTCAGTGCATCTTTGGCCGATGCTCCATCCATGAGGAGGTCTGCCAGCTGAGAGGCGTTGAGGCCCATGTCTGCTAGAGCGTCGATCATTCCTGGTGGGAGACGGAGGGGGGGTGAGAGAGGGATGTGTGAAGAATAAGGGTGTGCAACCGTGCAGGTATGGGGTGAAGAGAAACAGCCAGTTGACCAGATGCAGTGCATGCTTGGCCGTTGCATGCTGCTGCCATGAGCAGGTATGCGAGATCAGGGGGTTGGCTTTTGAGTCGACTCAAAAGCCATGAGCAGGTTTGCGAGATCAGGGGTTTGAAGGCCCATGCCTGCTAGAGAGAGCCAATAATGCCTGGGGGAAGTGGTAAAAAAATATATATACGAAACACACACAAACAAATGAAAAAAAGGAGAAAAAAAAGGCTTTGAAAGGATAAGGCGCGTGAATTAAGATAGATTGCTATATCTACAAATGATCCTGAACATGGGCGTCCGCAGCCCAACCATGGACCCAAAGACAGGAAGGAGAAATGCCATAATGTACCATCAATGTCGTACCAACATTTGAGGCGCCTCAAAAGACAGGTGAAATGCCATAATGTACCATCAATGTCGTACCAACAACAATCCCGACCATCAGCGTCCTGAGCCCATGAGACACGCGCTCCATGAACGTGCTCTTTGACGCCTCTGCGCCCTCCAACCCTTCTTCTTACGCGCCTAAAAAGAGGACTCAGTAACGAATGAACACCGCACCTACCAATGATCCCAACCATGGGCGTCCGGAGCTCGTGAGACATGCAAGCCACGAACATGCTCTTTGACGCCTCTGCTTCATCTGCCTCCCGTCTCAGCCTGTCCGCCTCAGCCACCAGTTGCTGCGTCTGAATGAACTTGGTGCGCTGCAGCCAAGCCGCCAGCAGCACGAGCAGCACGAGGAGGAGGGCGAAGAGGGCGATGAGGATAGGGATGCCCCACGATTGCCATGTGTTGGGAGGCTGCATGTGCCTGGATTGTGGTGGGAGGATAATGGGAGGGTTGTTCCGAGAACGTACTATTCATTCAGGTGCATAGTAAGAGGTTTGTGAGGAGGATGAGGTAGGTTTCAGAGATTGAATCAAAAGAAGCATATGTAATCTCTCTAATGAGATCTCACCTGCAGCCACAGAAGAAATCCCACACAGTGAATTCAAACTCTCACCCAGACAATCGCACAAGTCCGTCCGCCTCAAGAGAAATCATGCGGACACAAGAAAGCTCACCCTCAGACTTACTAGAAGGCTCACCCACAGTCCCATGAGAACCTCACCTTCACCAGACCTCGCACTCTCTCTCACATGCCTAGGAGTGCATGTGGGGGAGCGAGAGAGAGCAAGAGAGCGAGGGGGAGAACGGCCCAGCGCCGGATTTCAGAGTCGAGAAGGCTCACTCACTCTCCCACGAGAAGGCTCACTCACTCACCGGCACCAGACCTCGTACTTTCTCACGCCTGCTCCCATTTCCTCCAAAGGGACCACTGCTCGCTGCTCCCAGGGGCGGGTTTCAGAGTCCGGGAGGGGTGCATGTAGGGGAGATGGTCGTCTGGGCGGAAGTAGGCATGAGGGGGGACTGGGGAGACGATGGCGAAGAGAGAGGCTGGGTTGGTGATGTCGTATAGCTCAAAGGACTTGGATGAGTCTGGGTGGGTGGGTGGGTGGGTGGGTGGGGTGGATAAAAGGGGGAAAGAGAGGGGAATGAGAGTGGCAGGGATGGCCGGGGGAAGGCAGGACGGGAAGGGAGAGGTTGGGTCCGAGATGTTGTATAGCTCAAAGGATTTTGATGAGTCTGCATGGGAGGGGGGAGAGGGGGCGATGGGGGAGGGCGGAGGGGAGGGGGAGAAGAAGGGGAGAGGGAGGGAGAGAGTAAGAAGAGCACAAAGAAAGAGACAACAAGTCCTCTACCCATACCAAAAAACACACACACACACGCACACACAAGGGGAATCGAGAGGCTATACAGGTGTGCACTCACTTGGTGCACACAACTCCTCTAGGAACTTCCGTGCAACGTAAGTCACATTAATGGAAGCAGCCAGTGCCCCGTACACTGCTCCTGCTGCTGACTGCTTCAAGTGGTTATTGGCGATCTTTGAGGCGCCTGAAAACTCACCAGGTACATACAACTCCTCTAGGACCTTCTGTGCAATGTATGTCACGTCAATAGATGCAGCAAGTGACCCGTACACTGCTCCTGCTGCTGACTGCCTCGAGTGGTTGGTGGGGAGCCTGCGGTGGATAGGAAAGGCGACACCTGAGGGTGGGGTTGGGAGAAACAAGGGGGGTTGGAGCAGATGTTGATTACTGATTGCCACTTTTTATTCGAAGCCGAAGTCGCCTCACCAACTCGCGCATGAGTGAGAGGTTTTTTTTTAGGAGGGTGATGCTTCTGAAGGAGGGTGTACAAAGATTCTAGGCCACTTCAGAAGTTATTACTACATCACAAAAATGTGTACATCTGTAAATCATCTGACCATTTGATTTGGGCACTTGTGATTGAAAATCGTTTGAAGATCTTCTTAGAATCTTCTTGTAATCGTTTTGGCGGCCCAGATGTTTTACAGGCGTTTAGAAAGGGTTTTCACAATATATTGGTGATGGCATCTCTTACTCTGTTTTATTCCCTATCTCGCCATACATTTACCACGACAAGTAGAGTGCGACTATGAAAGGCGTCGCCAATCGGTTTTTTCTTAAAAAGCTGACAGTTATGTTTATGTTTGAATATTCGATTTTCATTCTTGAAATACGTTAATTAGTTCCTTATTGAGTTACGAAACCTCAATGTTTTATTATGATTCTCGTTTTTAAGTGAATCGATCTGAAATTAAGAATGTATCTGTAACTGTAATTTTGTAACAGCTGTAAGTATCGAAACAATTATTAGAGTCAAACCTTCGCCAGCAGCACCCCCACCAAACACCCTCGATATCCAGCAAATCTCGCTCCAACCCCCACCAATCGCGCTCCCCACCCCCCACTGATTGCGCTCCACCCCCCGTTCATCCAGCTGCCCTCGATCACTCCCTACCCTACCCAATCCATGCCTCAACCAACCCAGAAATAATTCCAACCAATCCATGTTGCCTTGCTCCATCCAGCTCAGAAGCCCAACCAATCCAGGCCGCCCATCTAACCCACCTAGACAACATCCAGCTCAGCTATGGTAGTGTCCCAACCCAACCATCCCCTGCACAACTTTAGCACTCTCCCTTCACACCAGCTCAAAGGTGGAAGACACTTCCCGTAATTTTTATTATTCCTTGGTGGCTCTGACTTCGTTAGTTTGGTTCCTCGTACTTCCTTCGCTTAGTCTCTTGGTCACTTCCGCCATAGCTTCTAGCGATTTGCTGCCCTATCACCAGCGAACCGCATTTATTGCGTGTCACTTTTTTCATGAAGTCCATCCACTTACGAATAGTCAGGACATTTCTCACCTCGTACTGACTTCTGGATGCGCATATGCAGGTCCCCGCGTCAGTTTTCCCTTCACTTTTCACAGGTCGCGGGGTTATCTTATTGATCGCGTCACCATCTACTCATGCGTTAATCCGTTTTGATATTTAATCTAACAATCTCGTTTGTTCGTTATGTCGATGATTTCCTTTTATTAATTCACAACTCTTCAGAGATTGCAATCGTGGTAAGCACACGATTTAATCGCCGCTGGTTTCTTAAAAATTGCTTTTATTTGGTTTACCTCACCTGCTGAAATCGTTGCTAGCTGCAGGCGGTGCTGTTTGTTCAGGTTCAACCGCATTTTTTTGCCAAGATCATGCCTAAATTATTGACGTGATGGAACATGTGTAGGCGACTAGGTCTCTGGTAGCTTTGCGTAACCATTTGTCTTGATGTAATGTCATAATTAAATCAAATTATTGATTTTCGATGTTTACAATGGTTGAAATTGACCACCTACAGATTATAGCATTGCATATTTTGAAATGATATTCTAGCTCATTTCCAATACAATAAAGAGTTGTTATGGCATCCACCTTTTTACATTAAAGGGTTTTGCGGAACTTCTTGCATAGTCAAGGCTGACTTCGGGTTGCCTTCTTCCGAAGTCTCTCGAAACGTGTGAAATCATCTGGAAAGCATCTGACACAACATCTAGAAAAACTTCGATACTTTCTTCTTAAAAAGTTCCCAACCCTACGTTTTTAAATCATTTGGAAAAGGTTTGAACAAACTCATTTCGGGAGGAATTTCGCTGCTTGATTTTTGTGATGTAACCACTCAGTCACCCACCGAATCATTCATGAGTGAGAGGGTTGGCACTGGGATACAGGCTACAGCCATGTGTGGAAAAAAACAGAAGCTCCTCAACCGTTTTACCACTTACTCACTCACCAAAGTTAAGAGACGACAAGAAAAAAAGGGAAGGAAAAACAAATTACGACCTTTGAGGCGCCGTTCATAAGTGGCCGTTGCCTCCCTCACTCACCGAATCCGGCATGAGTGAGGGGGTTGGCAAGGGGGTAGGGCCAGGAGTAGAAGTGCTTTCCCTCCTCCACCAGCGGGATCGCCGAGTAGAATCGTTGAAAGAGGTCGATGTTGCTGGGGCCGTTGGTGGCAAAGAGCGTTGTGAGCTCGAGAATCTTGGGGCAGTAAATGGGGCGACGGGCACTGATGTTCAACGTGTTGTCTCTGATGCTGCCGTACTGTTGCTCAAAGGACGCTCTGCAGCAATGTGTGTCGGGTGAAGTAAGAGGAAATCGAATAGAGGAAATCGGAAAGAGGAAATCGGAAAGAGGAAATCGGAGAAAGAGGGTGTTGTCTCTGATGCTGCCGTACTGCTTCTCAAAAGACGCCCTGCAGCAATGTGAGTGGAAATGGGGGGATGGAGAGGGGGGGGGGGGGGGGGGGATGGTTGGGTTTGCTGGTTTACATTACACCACTCAACCACACTTGTTGAAAGGTTTGCTGCTGCTGTGCCTCACCTCCCTCCATTCTCACCTCCCATCAACCTTTCCTCTCTCTACTCTACCATTCGCCCCTCCCTCCCCTCTCACATCTGCATCGCGCTCCACCGCACCGCACACTAACTGTAATCTGAAACGTCTCCCACCTCTCTCCCCTCTCACCTCTCTGCATCGTGCACCACCGCACACTAACCGTGGTCTGAAACGTCTCCCACCTCCCCCCCTCTCACCTCTCTGCATCGCGCACCACCGCACACTAACCGTGATCTGAAACGTCTCCCACCTCCCCCCCTCTCACCTCTCTGCATCGTGCACCACCACACACGCGGCCGCGCCTGTGTTCCCCGGGCGAGTCTGTGCGGTGCGAGTGAGATAAGACACCCACATGCTGCCGTCCAAACACCCGCCCATGCCCCACTTGCCCCCCTGCCCTGGCTTGCCCATTACCGAAATCAGCCCCGCGAGAGTCTGAAGAACGGGAGGGGATTGGATAGGAAAAGGTGAGATGAGGTGAACATTGCAACGACACATCATTCCTCTCAGTGCTAGCACACCTATTAAAGTGTCTCAAGAATGGGAGGGAAGTGGATTCGATTTATTCAATAAGGCAAACAGCATAAGGATGAGCAGAAGGCACTGCCCTTATACTTCATTCACACGCCCACATCCCACTCGCGGTTGCCCAGGCTTGCTCACGAGTGGAAGAACGCTGATTGGAGCCTGTTTGTGGAGGCGAGGGGAGGTAATGAGGGCTGCTCATGCGGCAGCAGTGAGTGCTGCGCTGTGCGGTGTTGGTGCAACCCTACGGTTTGCACTCGGCTTGTTGTCCGTGTGCGTGAATGTGTGTGTGTATGGAATGGTATGAGGGCATGGGATAATATATATTTCATGCTTATAATTGTGTGTGAATGTTGAGTCATGATGTCGAGTGTGTGTGTCGAGTCAATAGCGAGTTATCGCTAGACGCGTGTTACGCGGTCGTTTGTGTCTCGCGCGCGGTTTCTATTTTGTCGTGCGCGGTTTCTATTTTGTCCTGTATCGAACGTTCGGCGTGTCGCAGGTGTGTGCAGCAGACCCATCAAGAACTCAAGGATGAGTTTGTGATGAAGAGCCCGAGCCTTGGTGTCAAGCCTCAAGTGATTTCGAAGCTCGCCAAAAGGGTACACCTCAAGATATTGAAGATAGTTACATTACTTTGTGTAGTGTAACATTTCACTTGGTGTAGGCCCTAGTGAAGGGTAGTTTCGAGACCCTTCGTGGTTGGGGACAGTGTGGCACTGTTCCACATCACTGTACCTCGGCTCTTGGGGTTTGTAGGAGCTGGGAGTCATTCCCAACTCGTAACTCTTCATATCTTGTGTTCTAAGACTATAGTGGCTGCCATAGTACCGTTCGTTCAAACCGACGCTGTGTCGTCAATTCTTTATCAAATCGTGCAATCTAAATTGCTAATTGTAGACGATGTGAAGATGCTCCAGATCCAATTTGAATCAAGTCATTTGCAGCTGTGAGCAGAACGCTATCAACGTTTGAAGCCGCTGTGCAGAAATCCGTCTGTGCTCTCTATCTTTTGTTTTAGGCACATTCAAGCATATTGTGACTATAACAAGTGGTATCAGAGCCCCTTGGAGCAGTTTCGACAATGTCTGGACCTGAGGAAAGGGGTGGCAGAGGTGCTGGTGGCAGTGGAGAAGCTCAAGCTCAAGGCCAACCCCGTGATTCAGCCATGGCGCCCATGCAACCAAGTCTTGGCCCACCTAGGGATGAGCCTAGGGTGTTTGGGCTTGACAAGTTCAACGGTGACAACTTTGCTGAATGGTCCTTCAAGATGGAGAACATCTTTGACCACTATGACCTGCTGGAGGTGATGGAAGGAACGGAGAAGCGCCCCGAGAACGACCCGGAGAAGAGCCCGTGGGTGCGGAAGAGCGCACAAGGCTATCTCTTACTTGGGCAAGCGTTGGGGAGCAGTCAGATCCGTCACATCAAGCCATTCCAGCGTGAACCAGAGAAAGGACCAAAGGCATGGGCTGCTCTCAAGGGTGTACATGCTCCTGCAACAGCGGCGGTAGCGGTGGTGTTGGAACGGCAAATGGCGGCACTACGAATTGAAGAAAACGAAGCGGTTGAAGAAGGGGTGCAGAAATTCTTCGACTTGTTGACGCGGCTTGAGGGAGCTGATTTGAACTACAGTGAGCTCCAAAAGAAGACCAAATTGCTGGCCTTACTCCCAGAGTCATGGTCCTCGCTCATCATCAACCTTAATCGCGACTTGCCCCGCCTCTCGCTTGAAGACGTGAAGCGAGCTATCCTTCAAGAGGATTTCCGCCGCCGTGAGTTGGCGAGTGCGGATGGCGCTGGGGCAGCGAGCATCGGCCGTGGATATGGTCGAGGAAGAGGCAGAGGACGAGGGGGAGGAAGGTTTGGTGGCAGCAACTTCGGCGGAGGCCGCATGAGTGGCGGTTACGGCAGCGACGACAAGAGCTACGGACGCGGTCGCGGCCGATTCGACGGCGAGTGTCACTATTGCCACAAGAGCGGACACATGTGGCGCGACTGCTACAAACTCCCTGATGGTTGGACCCCTGGTCAAGGCCAAGAGGGTAGAGGAGCAGGAGGAGGGAGAGGACGAGGCCGTGGAGGCCGTGGCGGTCGCGGTGGCGGAGCTGCAAACATGAAGAGCGGAGACAACGACAAGGACCCGAGCGACGATCGATACCCGGGTCTATTCTACTTCGTGTCGACGCAAGTACCGGCTGGTCCAGAGAAGGATGAAGGCTTTGAGGAGCCAGCAGCTGTGGGGAAGGTGACCCTACACCCCCTGGACTATTGGGTGATTGATAGTGGCGCTACCTATAGCATGACACCTCGCCCGGACTTGCTCACCGAACTCGAGCCGTCACCGGTGAAGCATGTCACATCGGCTTTGGGGCAGCGAGCAGAGGTGAAAGGCATGGGCAAGGCCATGTTCAAGGGTGCTGATGGGAAGATGGTGGGCCTCAAGAACGTGCTTTGGGTGCCCAGCCTTGCTGCAAACCTGATTTCCGTGCGGCGGTTGGCAAAGGCCAGCATGGACACGAACTCGAAGGGAGCCAAGACCTACACCGCAAGGCTTGGCGATCGAATTCTTTGGGACCTTCATGAGGACAGGGATGTCTACAACGAGATGTGGCAGATCCCAGTGGTCCCTATGCCTAAGGAGAGGCAAGTGGCAGCAAGCATCAGCACCAAGGATGGAGCGGTCGGTAGCGACGATGGCGCGAACGGTCGCGCTAAGGAGAATGATCTCAAGAAGAGCAAACCTGGAGGGACCAGCAAGTTTAGTGAACCTAAGGAGAGTGGTGCAGCAACCAAGGAGCAGCAAAAGGGTGAGGAGAACCCAGAGGCAGCAGCGGAGGAGGACTACGGAGAGAGTATGTGGGGCGCTATTGCGAGCGCGGCATTCTCCAATCCAACTTCGGCTACGGGGGAGTGTGATTGGCTCACCTTGCATCGGGGCATGGGGCATGTGGCCCTGCCCATCTTGCAGCAGCTAGTGAAGAATGAGATGGTTGCTGGCATACGTGTGAAGGGGGAGCCCGATGAGGTGCTTGGCTGCCCGACGTGCATTCAAGCCAAGTTCACCCGGTTTCCGTTCCCTAGTTCGGAGGCAACGGCAAAGGCACCGCTTGATGAGGTGGTGATGGACGTGGTGGGCCCCCTGAAGCTTGGAGCTGCTGGAGCTGAGTATTTTCTCACCATTGTCGACGTCTACACCCGCATGACTTGGGTGTACGTGCTGGCCAAGAAGAGCGACGTGGCTGAAACGTTGAAGACGGATTGGTTCCCGATGGTGGAGCGGCAACAAGACCGTCTAGTCAAGTCAATCCGCACCGATCGAGGGGGAGAGTTCCTGAGCAAGGAGTTTGGGTTGTGGCTGAAGAAGAATGGTATTCGGCACTCCCTCACCATGCCATACTCCCCTGCAATGAACGGCATCGCCGAGCGAGCGAACCGCACAATCACGGAGGCGGCACGCGGGTTGCTCATTGAAGCCGGGCTACCCGACTATTTCTGGCCTGATGCGGTGCGGAGCGCGTGTGTGGCCAAGAACAGAGCCTTGACTCATGTGGGAGCAGACAAATGGGTGCCCTATGTGGAGTGGCTAGGAAGGAAGCCAAAGGTGGATATGCTTCGGGTGTTCGGGTGCATGTGCATGGCGCTCGTGCCTAAGCATCTTCGGCACAACAAGCTTGGTGCCAAGGCGGTGTGGGCCGTGCACTTGGGCATGGCTCAAAACAGCAAGGGATGACTTCTTTGGGACCCATTCACCAAGAAGTTCTTGGTGAGCAGGGACTGCAAGTTCATGGAGAACTTCATGTACAAGGATTGGAAGGCGGAGAATGAGGCGAAGATAGGCGTGCGGTTTGGGGAGGTGAAGAGTTCCGGTTTGGAGCATGTGGAGCTGCCTTTGGAGCTGAGCAGCGGCAGCACAACCACAAGGCAATCCTCCCTTGTGAATGGGGGAGAGGAGGCCAATGATGCAGAGGAAGAAGAGGAGGAGGTGCAGCAAGTGAGCGAGCGTGCACCGTCACTCCCTTCCCGTACTACGAGTGCTCCACGGATTCGAGCCACACCGCAGCAATGCCAAGGCCTTCAAGTCCCTGCAGCTGAGGAGGAAGGAAGGGGGAAGAGGAGAGTTCAACCCCCTAATAGGCTGACCTATGATGCGCCGGGAAAGCAGGGCAAGACAGCCCTGGCCGGAGCGGCAATGATGGTCGGAGACGACGAGGAGAGTGACTACGAGGAGTGTGCCTTCGCGTTCTTCTCTCCGGTGGAGATGCCGGGAGAACCAGCAACTCTCAAGGAGGCTTTGGAGAGTAGTGATGCTGAGGAGTGGAAGAAGACCATGGAGAGTGAGCTGAAGAGCATCGAGGAGAATGACACGTTTGAATTGGTGGAGCTACCGGAGGGGCGTACGGCGATAACGTCCAAGTGGCTCTTCAAAATCAAGTCGGATGCCGACGGCAAGATCGAGCGCTACAAGTCTAGGCTTGTAGCCAAGGGGTACCAGCAGAAGGAGAAGGTGGACTTCAAGGAGCTGTTTGCCCCTGTGGTGAAGCCGACGACGCTGCGAACCCTATTCGCGGGAGCCGCCATCAAAGGATGGGTAGTAAAGCAAATGGACATCGTAACGGCATTCCTTAACGGCATCCTTGAGGAGGAGATTTTTATGGCGCAGCCAGAGGGGTTTGATGATGGTAGTGGCAGAGTGTGGAAGCTGAAGAAGGCCCTCTATGGGCTGAAGCAGGCCCCTAGGCAATGGTACATGAAGCTGCGCGAAGTGTTGGAGGGGATCGGCTTCACTCCCTCAACGGCCGATCACTCCTTGTTCATGCTTGGCGAGGGGGAGCAGAGGAGTTTCATGGTGGTTTATGTGGATGACATCCTCATTTTCTCACCCTCTTCTGACCTTGTGAAGGAGGTGATGCTGAAGCTTCAAGACAAGTTCAAGTGCAAGGCCCTTGGTGACGTGAGCTTCTACCTTGGGC